GCTGAATTACCAAAATATTTTAAAATAATATTTAAACATGAGTCTTAAATTATTAGAGATCAGTTTAATTCTAGTGTCATAATTCATATCATGCAAACTCATATATATATATAAGTAAAAAATATTCACTATAAATACTTCCTCTATTTATAATTATTTAATGTTTAACATTTATGTGCTCTAATTAAAAAAAAAAATTTTATTTTTTTCTAAAATAAAATATCAATATTTATCAACCCAAAATTCTTTAACCAATAATAAACAAATATGCATAATTTAAATAATCGAAAACAATAACAAAATTAGTTTTGCATAGAAAGTTGAAAACATCATTTAATTTAAATAAAAATTTGTCTTCTAAAACATCATTTAAAAATAAATTAAAAGAGTATATTAATTATGTAATAGAGTCGTAAAAACGTTCAATTTTATAAAGTTAAATCAGAAAAAATAAATTTCATGTGACATATCTCATAATAACATTTATAATATTTTATAAATTATAAAGCATTCTATATAAATTCATGTTTGATAAATGGCTACTATTTATGTAATTAGTTTCTTTCTAACAGAGATCATATTCGCAAACTTTAGAACACTTTTAAATCTTAATAGTAAATATAAATTTTCTTTTTATCATGAAAAAAATTTTCATTTTTTACAACTTTTTTTTTTAACATCGAGAGGAATGAATACTTTTTTTTATATTTTTCTTTTTTATATAATAAGATTTTGAGAAAATAATTATGTTTATAGATTTTGATTTTTTGTTTCTTTGGTATGGTTGTGAATATCTTAAAATTTTAAATTAATATTTTCGTATCCTTTCTAAATTTTTCCAATATATATCATATATTTTGTTTTATCATTAACATGTTATTTTATTTTAATTATTATTTTTAAATAAAATATATTGTCTCTTCACTTTTTGTTTTTTTCGGTTTATGTTCTTTCTTAAATTGTTTTTATAATTAGTTGGAACTATTAATTTTTTTTATCTAGTTAGTTTCGACTATTAAATTTTTTTTTTTTTCTAAGTAATTTCAAATATAATGAAATTTTCTTTTTTATTATTTTGTTAATTATTTGGCAATTCTTAAATCTTTAAATTAATATTTTCGTATTCTTTCTAATTTTTTTTTAATATATATCATATATTTTGTTTTATCTTTAACATTTTATTTTATTTTAATTATATTTTTTAATTAAATTTATTGTCTTTTCATTTTTTTGTTTGGTCTATTTTCTTTTTTAATTTATTTTTATAATTAGTTTAAATTATTAGATTTTTTTATCTAGTTAGTTTCGATTATTATACGCAACGAAACTCTTATTCTATATCCTTAAAATTAATTTTTGAAAAAGATTTCAAACTATTAACTATATCGCATGAGATTCTGAGAACCTGATAAAAAATAGAAATGAGTCTAAATTAGTTTAAAAAATGGTAAATTTAGTGGTGGAGTTCACGTGGAGGTACAGATAATTAGGAACCTTTTATAAAAAGTTCATAGATATATCAAGCATATATAGTGCATATATTTTAGAAATAAATCTAGGTTCTCTAAGGG